AATACATTTTTAAAGTTTGTGGGATTTCAGAAGTGTATGGTTTTTTTTTGTTGTTGTTGTTTGCTTGTTTTTACAGTTTTGTTTGGGCCAAGAGGGAAAAATTAGGTCACTAACAAGTTGTTATAACTTTAAGTCTCAAATAAATCTGTCTCAGAAGCAAACTGGCTTAAACAAATCATTTTGGTGTCTTGGAAGCATTAACCATTTCTCTGTCAACTGTGTCTGCTGAGGGGTAAGTAAGCTCTTAAACTGTCTGCACCTCGAATCCCGTCTTTCCTGTCCATACACTCTGTGGGTAACACCTAAAAAACACAATCATGGATGGAATTTCCAGTAGGAAACCCACTCTTTCATAACCAACAAATATTTCATTAAAGATATTGTACATTTATTTATGGAAACATAATACGAAGCATACAGTACTTTAGTAATTATTACACGCACGCCACAAACCCATAAACATTACTTGAGTATTAATATAGATTGTAGATGAAACACAAGCCCTTTGTAGCTCCTCAGTTCCCTGGGGATGTATGAGTCTCGCCTACAGCCTTAGAGAGGGACCCAGAGAGGGCTCAAGCTCCACTCAGCAGTCAGGGGATGTGCGTTTGGGGTGGGGGGGGGTTCACTTTAAAATGGAGATTCCTCTTTCTTTTTAGGAAGGAAACTGAGGAAGTTGTTTCAAAACAAAATAAATGTCCAGGATGGGGCTGGAAAAGGGTGTGAAGGAGCGGCCTTTGATTTCCCAACTTGTGTATTTGGCCTCAGACAACATCTTATGTGCATACTAATCAAATGGTAATCCTTGCCTCCAGCAAGGAGGGTGACATTTGACACTAAGTCATCTTGTCAACAGAAGGGCATGGGAGTATTTTAATTCCATCTAGGGGAGGTGGGAGATGACAGATTTGGGGACTGACTCAGGCCTGGAGAGCTGGCGACTCCAGGAATTATTTCCATATCAATGACCTCTTCAAAACCTGTGAACGTTGCCCTCAAAGCTTTCAGGTAACTCTGTGTAAGGTACTTACCTACCCTGTCCTGGTAAAGCTTCACAAACTTGAGGGTGAGCTTGAGGGGGTCCACCCCAGGGGGCCCAGCAACAGCTTGGGGTCCCTGCTAGGAAAAGACCACATTGGAGACCAGGGGGCCCAAGCTTTTGTGTTTTCTCAGATGTTCAAAATGTTAGTGTCATCCCATCTTGTGGCTGGACAGATCAACTTGTCGTCCACAACACTGTCTCCAGCTCACTTTGCCCTTGTGCCAGCGCTATCTGGAGGGAACCCAGAGGTGAGGTTGCTAGGTCAGGAGGCTACAGACAGCTGTAGCTTTATTTTTGTGCCTGAGTGACTCTTGAGGGTTCTCCTGTGTGAGATGGAACAAGCTCTCACACAGCTGACCACTGTGGGCCAGGTCTTTAAGTTGGTTCTCCTGTACTTTTAAAAAAAGGAGGTTCTGTGTATGAGTGTTGTTCCAGCTAGTTTTATGTCAGTTTGACACAAGCTTAGAGTCATTTAGGGAGAGGAAAAAATACTCCCCACTAGATTGGGCTGTGGGCAAGGCTGTGGTACATTTTCTTGCTGAATGACTGATGTGGGTGGAGCCACCCCTGGCTGGTGGTCCTGGGTGTTATAAGGAGGCAAACTGAGCAAGCCATGGGATCAAGCCAGTAAGCAGTGTTAGTATTTCCTCTAGGCTCTGCCCAACAGTTACCTACCAATGGCCAGGTACAAGCTAGGAGCCAGGCATATAAGGACTGCTCAGGGTCCATCTCTCTCCCTCTCCCTCTACTCCTCCCTTCCCCATTCCCCTCTCTCCCTCTTCCTTCTCCTCTCCATCTATTCTCTCTCTTCTCATATGTCCCCAGCTGGCCTCTTCCCCCCCTTCCTCTCTTCCTCTCTTTCTCTTTCTGTCCTTCTCTGTTCCCTTTCTTTTTTTTGCCTCTACTCCCTTCTTCAGACCTCCTTCCCAGGTCCCAAATAAACTACCCTTTATACTAGGCCTGTCAGTATGACTGGTACCTCAGGAGGGATGCCTCCGTGCAGGCCTGCTAAGGGCACCTCCTGAGTATCATACCACATTTTATAAAATATAACAAGCAGCCCTCCTTCCTCTGTAGTTTGTGCTCCAGTTCCTGCCTCCAGATTCCAGCCCTGAGTTCACGCAATGGCTTCCCTAGATCATGGGGCACAGACTGAAAGATAAATAAACCCTTTCGTCCTCCAGTTGTTTGGGCCACGGTGTTTTATCACAGCAATAGAAACCCTAACGATGGAGAGGTGTTTAGCCAGCATGTGTATTTATACACCACTTGCATTCCAGTTGTGGCAGCGACCAAAAGAGTGTCAGATCCCCTGAGACTTGAGTCAAGGATGATTGTGAGCCACCACCACGTGGATTCTGGGACTCAAGCCTAGGTCTTCTGGGAGAACAGCAAGCACTCTTAACCACTGAATCATCTCTCCAGCCCTGTTTCTCTTTATTAAATAAGTGTGTAAGAGTGGGTGTGGGTGTGTGCACACCCATATGTGTGCTCCAATGTGTGTATGTGAAGGTCAGAGTCAACCCTGGGTGATGTCCCTCAGGACACCGTTCATCTTACTTTTGAGAGAGGATCTCTCACTAGCCCGGACCGCACCAAGCAGGCTAAGCTGGCGGGTCAGTGACCCAGGGATCCCACCATCCCTCGATCCCACTGCTACAATCACAGGTGTGGACTCACACCAGGCTGTTTTATATGGGTTTGGGGGACAGAACTAAGATCCTTACTGTCTCTCCGGTGTAAGAAGTAATTTGTTAAACAGGGGTCTGTTTATTCTGAGGCTCACACGATCCTCCACCTTCCACTGTGGAAGCTTAGCTTCTTTCTGTCTGGCCATCTTACTTTATTAGGTTTTTCAGGAGAGTTTCTCTGTGTATCCCTGGGAGTCCTGGAACTCGATCTGTCGACCAGGCTGCCCTTGAACTTATAGAGATCTACTTACCTCTGCCCTCCAAGTGCTGGGATCAAATGCGTGTGCTACCACTACCCAGCTTGGCCATCTTGGACTTTGTGTGTGTGTTCATATATGTGTGCATGTGTGTGGGCTTTCCAGGGTTGTGAGGTAGGCATGTGGCATTGAAGACTAAAGCTATACTTTTCCTGGTACTGAAACTTGGGGGCTTGTGTGTGTGTGTGTGTGTGTGTGTGTGTGTTTCTTTTTAAGAAATCCATGGATCTCTCATTAGTATCCTTTAATCTGTGAACAAAAAGGGAGTATTTTCTTTATGTATATGAGCACACTGTAGCTATCCTCAGACACACCAGAAGAGGGCGTTGGACTCCACCACAGATGGCTGTGAGCCATCATGTGGCTGCCGGGACCTGAACTCAGGACCTCTGGAAGAGCAGTCAGCGCTCTCAACCAGAGCCATCTCTCCAGCCCCATTTTTTTTTTTTTGAGACAGGGTTTCTCTGTACAGCCCTGGCTGTCCTGGAACTCACTCTGTAGACCAGGCTGGCCTCAAACTCAGAAATTCGCCTGCCTCTGCCTCCTAAGTGCTGGGATTAAAGGTGTGCGCCACCACCGCTCGGCGATTATTTTCTTCATTGTGCTTAATTTAAAAATCTAGTCAGCCGTGAGATACAGAAACCTGGAGACTGTGTCCCAGGGGTCTCAAACACTTATCAGGTGAGTACCAAGAGGGTCAATGGATTCCTTCTCAAATGAGATCACTCCCTGTGGAGAGCACCAGCACAGCTCCTAAGACTCTTGAGATGGCAATTCTTTCTCTGTCTTTGCCAGCTCTCATTGTTCTGTCTACACCGGTGCACAGGCCCTAAGCTCACAGAGTCCCTAGCACAGCCCCAGCCCATTCACCGGCCAAGCAGAGGGACAAAACCACACTGCTTGGGCTCAGATGGCAGGATCAAGGTGCCAGGATTGAGCCTCTACATGCTGGTCTTGCTGCTCAACCTGACATGCTTGGCCATGTCCCTGTGTCCTGCAGCCTGATTGCTGCCCGATATATGCAGCAGCCACTTCTGGTGCTGCCCAGTGTCTCCAATCCACCACCCACCTCAGTGACCTCAGGCCTCCTTCAAAGAAACTGAGTTCCCTCCACCAAGCCTCCAAAATTTACTGCCTGGCCAGTTCTCCCTCATTAGCTGGGGATCCTGAGGAGTGGGAAGGGCCCTCCTCCCCAGAACCTTGGTGTCAGAATCTACCTGAGGTAGATACACAGTCTCTCCTCTAGACCTCAAGTTTCTGGATTTTGAAACTCAAGAGTAAAAGAATTGAAAGAAAGAAAGAAGAGAGAGAGAGAGAGAGAGAGAGAGAGAGAGAGAGAGAGAGAGAGAGAGGAGAGAAATTGAAAGAAAAGAAAGAAAAAAGGAAAGAAAAGCCAGGTAGTGGTGGCACATGCCTTTAATTCCAGCACTTGAGAGGCAGAGGCAGGTGAATGTGGCCAGCTTGGTCTACAAAGGGAGTTCTAGGGTAGCCAAGGCTACACAAAGAAACTCTGTCCCGAAAAAAACAACAATAAAGAAATGAAAAAACAAAAGAAGTCAAGAGAGGATTCACGGAACACAGGATTTTCATTTCGATCCTTGGTGTTACAGTGACTGGAATGGAGGCCAGGAAAGCTTTTGGGTCCTGTTTTGAGCCAAAGTGTGTCCTTCGTTTCAGAAATGCTATTTTCCCTCAGCCCCACCAGAGGGCGCCGTAGAACAAGGAGCCTTTGTTCATAGACTTTCCATATAATTCTTTTGGCTGATTTTAATTCACCATTCGACCTCGGATGACAGACTGCGACCGACTTTAAAAAACAAAAAACAACTTTGTTGTAATTTGTGTTCTCAGTTTTAATGTCTAGAGCTACTGACTGGTTCTAAGTGTGTGGTGGTATGTCCCGCCGCTCATTGTGGTTTTGTGGTCAGAATACGTACCGAGACGTTAAATAGAGAAAGATCAAAGACAAGACTGGTTCCCTTTGTTCGCAAAGACACAAACAGTGGCTACCTGTTCCGGCAAGATCTGCTGTGCTTCCTTCTCTTTGTCCTCCTCTTGGGTGTGACGCCCCCTGTGTTTCTTTGGTGTTTTTAAACGGTCTTTCAAGATCAGGGCCATCCTAAGTCATACGAACAACAACAACAAAATGCACGTCAAATTTTGAATTACAGCATTAAAAAATTGAGTTAGACACTTTTTTATACTGTGACGTGCTGAACACTTAGATTGCCTGTGTGTATCCCAAAACAAAAAGACGCACAAGCCAGTTCTGGAAGCAGTTGGGAACACGAGCAGAAAGCCCTTTCACAAAGTACACTGAAACAGCAGCTCCTTGATGCTGCAAACTGGCCGTCTTCCCGTGCTGGCTGAGGCTCCAAGCGGGCACACAGCAGGAACAGTTACAGAAGGTGAGGAAGCAGGCAAGACAATTCTGAGCCTCCCAGACGCCACTGGAAAGGAAATTGCTTTTTTAAGCACAGCAGCCGGATCAAGGCAGGGAGGGGCTGCAGGGCTACAGCCGCTACCCTGCTCTGGCTGGCCACAAGCTCCGCCTCCAGCCCAGCCCCCTCCCACCAAGCCTGCTCCTTCTGTTTCTTGGCTTTGTGATCCCAGCAGTAAGCCATGCTCTGATTTCTGTAGCTGAGCAACGGGACTGAGGGGTGCTGGATGGTGGAAAGAAGCCCTGGCAGGTGGCTTGTCAAAGACGCTGGAAATGGGGGCAGAGCATTCTTAGGGCTTACACGGGAGACTTGGCAGCCATCGCAGACAGCTATTACAGGGCTCCTGAAAGGCGATCTTCATGATTCTGCCCTGTCCTTCCCTTCTCTTTCGCCACAACCATCTATATAACCTCTTCTTGACCTTTGCGGGATTTTTTTTTTCTTATACAGAAGGTTGAAATAGGAACTGAATAGACACTTCAGAGATTAAGAGCATGCATGCTCTTGCAGAGGACCCAGCACACATGTTAGGCAGTTCACAACCAGAGGTGTCTAATGCCTTCTGGCCTCTGCCTGCATGCACATGAACACACCCCCACACAGACATACATGTATACATATAATTAAAAATAGTTTTAAAAATTGAGGCATGTAATTCATATACTCAAAACTCACCCCTTGAAAGCCTACAATTCAATGGGTTTCAGTGGGGTTTTTCAGGGATGTGCAGTCGTCACCATAATCAAGTTCTGAGCATTTTGGTTGCCAAGAAAGGAACACAGGGTCCCAATACTTGCAGCTTTATCTACACTCTGGCTTTGGAGATGTTTCAGGCTGAGTCAGAGTCCCCAATAGTCACAAGTTGAAGCCCCAATCTCAGTACCTCAGAATATGACTGCATTTAGAGACAGGGCCTTGAAAGAGGCCATTGAGTTAAATGAGGTCACAGAATGGGCCCTGATCTAACCCAGTGTCCTTGTGAGAGGAAACGTGGCTACACAGACATGCATATGCATGAGAAGCCATCAGGAACATGGGCTGGCAGCAAAGAGAGTGGCCAGAGAGCACCAGGCCACATGGCAGCAGCTGAGGCAAGAGGCTTGGGTCCTCCATCCCCTCCTGCTGTGATCTGGCCCAGCACAGATTCAGCTGACCACAGACCCCACTCCACTATGAAACTGGGAGCCCAAATAAATCTTTCCTTTCTTATTTCCCTGGGTATTTTGTCATAGCGATGAAACCCTAAAACATCTTCCTGCCTCTCAGGGTCACTGAGATCACTCCAGAATGCTACACAGGAGACAGGAGCCTGCAAGATGAGGAACGAAGACTGGCATCTTCATTGGTGGGGGAGGGGCAGTGTGCTGGCTAGTCTAATGTCAACTTGACACAAGCGAGAGTTACCTGAAAGGAGCAAACCTCAATTGAGAAAATGCCTCCCTAAGATCCAGCTTTAAGACATTTTCTTAATTAGTGATCAATGGGGGAAGGGCCCAGTCCATTGTGGGCGGTGCCATCCCTGGATGAGTAGTCCTGGGTTCTGTAAGAAAGCAGACTGAGCAAGCCATGGGGAGCAAGCCAGTAAGCAGCATTCCTCCATGGATTTTGTATCAGTTCCTGCCTCCAGGTTCCTGCCCTCTTTGAGGTCCTGTCCTGACTTCCTTCATGATGAACAGTGAGATATTCCAAATAACCTACCACCAACTTCCTTTTTGGTCATGGTATTTCATCAAAGCAATAGAAATCCCAACTAAAACAGACAGAAGCCAATGGGAAAAACATCCAACTAAATGTTTGTTTTTGGCTTTTGGTTTCTTTATTTGGGGCTGGAGAGGTAGCTCAACCATTAAAAGTTAAGGCTCAAAATCAAAAATACTAGATTTCTTTTATGTGTATGGTTGTTTTGTCTGCATGTATGTGCACCACGGTGTCTGAGGGTAGAGTATTTATGTGACTCACACAGACCCAAAGTCTGAGATTGTAGCCATACCAACTGACCCACTAACTCATGGTCTATGACAGGTGTACTGTCAGACTCAAGATCAAATTTCTGCTTCTTTCCAAAGTGTGGCTTAACGTTTCCTAACTTTTTATTTGAACTTTTAAAAATATTTGCTGCAGTCACCACTGAATCTTTGTCTGTCAAGACAGAGCTTCATTACGTAGCTGAGGCTAGCTTTGAACTTGAAGCAGCTCCCCTGAGACGACTGCCCAGATGTTGAATGTCTACCCTCCCCACCCCAGCTATCATTGACTCTTGATGATAAAGTCTAATAGCTTAGTGGAATTCGGGGGAATTTAGTATCCTGGTTTCAAACAAGATTTAAGTGAAGAATCAGAAGTCGGCATGTATTAATTCTTTTTACACTCTTTATCCTGAATTTCTTCCCAGACTTTTATGCCAGGCTGTGGTAGAGCCCCTGCTTTGCATGCATGAAGACCTGTGTTGGATATCCAATACTCCTCTAATAAAAAGAGAGGGACAGAGATAAGAAGGAAAGGGAGAGAGAGAGAGAGAGAGAGAGAGAGAGAGAGAGAGAGGAGGGAGAGAGAGAGAGAGAGAGAGAGAGAGAGAGAGAGAGAGAGAGATCTATACTAACAAACTGGACTGGAGTTTGGCTGTGTTCTTTTTAGTGAGTTATTAGGGTTTACAAAGTATTCCTCTTTTGATTGTTGATCAAACAATGAGGAAGGTAAGCAGCTTGTGAACCTGTGGACGGTGGGATGGGAGGAAGGACTTCATGTCTGCATCATCTTCGGTTCCTCCCTGGAAGGATGACATTAGCTAACCCCTCTCATTCAGCCTTGGAATGGGGAGGGAGGAGAGAGGGGTCTGAGCCATCCTTTGTCAGGCACATGACCTGAACAGGACATCCCAAACTATAAAACCACTGGGTCATATAATCAAGTAGGTGTGGCCAGCAAAATACCATATGTAATAGAGAAAAAACCTTTACTCAGTTCTATATAATATGGGAAAGATTTTCATTTACACAGTGAGGGTAAATATCATCTCTCATTAATCTTGTGTTCCAAGTACACACATGCACACACACACACACGCACACACACACATCACACACACCACACACACACACGCACACACACACACAGACACACACAGACACACGTACACACACACAGACACACACATGCACACGCACACTTGCATTGAGGCCTGGGTCACAGACAAGGTCAGAACAGTATCCTATGCTTGAGGAAAGAAGGTGAAACCAGGAAGAGGTGGAAGAGCAGGTGGCCGGGCCCAGGGCCCTTCAGGGAACTTCACAGCACACTGGTGCAGCCTGGCATTAATTAGCTCTGGAAACAAAGCAAGCACCAGAGGAGCAGAGCCTGCAGGGCTGAGCGAGGCTGCACCAGGTAGTGTCATCACCATGGTGAGATGGCCATACCCAGGTCTGATCAGGCACCAGACGTCCAGCCCCGATTTTCTCCTGAAGCTGAATTCAGTATCTTAGGTGAGTCTGAGCAGGAGGGAAAGTATGCCAGTCCCGCGGAGGCCAACAAGATGCCGACGTCATCTGTAGTGTGTATGCTATGATGCAGCATCCCAAGAGAGGCCTGCTGCTGTGTTGCCATAGCAACATTTTTCCCAGCCTGTCACCATTATCTCATCATGCCGCTTCCTTTGGCTGTGAAATCCGGCTGCCGTGCTGGGCAGGGCCCGACTCCACAAACCTCGATCCCCCATCACCCCCCATCCCCCGCCCCCGCAAAGCTCCAGTTTTCACTACCACCTCCACAGGGCAGGTGGGAAGGGAGGTATTCCAAGCAGGGCTGCACAGCAGCCTGCTCTAGCAGGTCTTCGCCTTGTGTCTCAGGCTGGTCTAGAGACCCCGGGGTGGGGGTTGGGGGGGCAGACACGATCCCACTTCCTCAGTGACAGCAGAAACTTGGATCAGGGCCCAGCAATAGATTCAAAGAAGATCCCTGCAAGTCAGCAATGGTGAAACCAGAGAAAAGAAGAAGACCCCCGGGACTCAAGGGCTCTGAGGAGAACAAAGAACACCCGGAGGATACTGGAGACAGCTGCAGGCGCTAGCGCAGAAAGGAGGATTGGCTTTGGATCAGGGTCTGGCTTTCATCCATTCCCTGCTTCTTGCCCATGACACATTTGCATGCTGATGTTTCAGTCACTGAAGGAAGAGAACTCGGGTTCTTAAAGCAAAAGCAACAAATGAAAATGTTTAAGCAAACCAAGAGCTGCATCTGTGCCTGCATGCAGACCCGTGGGTTCTGCGTCCTTATACGTTACTTCCATGGACCTCTGAGTCCTTCTGTCACGGGGTCTTTGAGTGTGACAGCTTGTTTCATGCCTTAGATGGATTTAACACGATGAACGAGGGCTCTGGAAATACAATGGCCACTCAAGCCACTCTGAGCCAGATTGCTCATCGCATCCTGTGTACAGCATGGTGCACAGGCAGGCAGGGGAAAATACTGATATGCATAAACATAAACTATTTTAATGATTTAGTTTTATTGTATGTGCATTGGCATTTTGCCTGCATGCGAGTCAGAGTGAAGACATCAGATCCCCAGGGGGTGGAGTTATAGGCAGTTGAGAACCGCCAGGTGGGTGGTGGGAATTGAATGGAGATTCCCCTGGAATAGCAGCCAGTGTTCCTAACCAGTGAGCCTTCTCTCAAGCCCCCA